GGAAAACAGAGCAAACTGACTACTTACCAGACCACAACATTATCCACCAAAGCTCCTCAGCAGCCAAGTGTGCCAGCACTGAGGGTGAAGAGTGGAGGAAGGATAATAGAAACACAGAAGATGGGTGAAATCTTCAGTTTGACAGAGGGAACCTTGACTGTCACCCATCCCTGAGGCCTGCTGTGGTGTTGTTCTCCTTCCTGCTGTGCAGAGGGTGATGGCACATGCAGGGCTGAGCTGCAGCAGCTGGGAAAACACCACACACCAGCCCTGTATTTTAAAGAAGCCCCAAACATGCCACTGCTGAGTTGCAGCAAGCATTAGACAGCTCTGCAAAGACCACAGGCCTCACCTTGGGGTTCAGGAGACCTGAAATGCAATCTGCTCAACATCCTCCTCCATCATGCAAGCTTCACAGGGTCTCGTAGCCTCTCTGCCAAGTATTTGAGGTCAGGTTCTTTCCAAAGAGGGACACAAAAGCCCCTTGCCAGCTCCTCTCCACCCACCTCTGTGAGCAGGGACTCCCTCTGCTTCCCATGGAGGCCAAGAGAAATATGGCTCTTGGGTGCAGAGCCAAACAGCTGACTGGTGGCTGGTGTGTCCTCATGGAGGACCTGCCAGAAAAGATCTCATTTGTTGTTAGAATCTTGGAAAATAAACCCTCTCTGAGTTTCCAGCTCAGATGTGAGACTGTCTGCCCGTGTTTATGCTGCCTGAGGCTGGAAGTGTGAGGGTGCCCTATGGTTCTGTGCCCTGAGCTGCGGGCATTCAGGGCACCTGGGATGCCAAGGGTCCCCCAGCAGCCTCACAACACCTACAGGTGGGCAGGTGAAGGAGACCCAAACTCCTCAGGCTGAGCAGCTTTTCTAGAGAGATGTGGCATGAAGGGTTCTGAAGCAATAACTCACGCCTGCAGCAGTTACAGGGAGACCTCAGACTTTCCATTTAGCTTGGCTTTAGCTCCCCTGCAGAGCCAGGCTGAGGCAGGAAAAGGGAAATATTAAAAACTCCCCACAGACTTATGGTCTTAATCCCTCTCTTTGCAAAACAAACAGCACATGGTGTGATTAAGTGAGCCTTTTGAGATACGCATATTTGGACTCCTTCTTCCCTCCCTTGCCAAGCCCCAGCCTTGCAGAGCTCACTCCAACACACGTGTCAGCAGCAACAGCTCCTTTTACCTAATTCACCATTTCATGCTCTGCCTTTCAGGCCATCGACTGCGAAATCATACCTGGAGCACGGAGAGCTAGGAGGCCAGGCAGGATTCAGTCTAGCAGATTAGAAGATAACCCAGCCAACTAAGAACAAGTCTTTACACCACTGTGGAAGCCAAAATTGAAAAATGTCATGAATTAAGTTGCTAGAGAAAACTGCTTTTCAAAGAGTGGGCTTTTAAGCTGGCACAGCCCTGGGCTACCTTGCACACCACCAGATTTTTATAATAAAACAGCTTCTCTGGCTGCATGTCAATGAGATCTCTTTGCTCCAGCAGTGACTTGCCTATTGCTTGGTACTTCAAGAAAATAGCAGGTCCTGACTCCATGCCCTAGCTTCCAAGTGAGACTGGGCTTCTCCCCCAAGCTCTGAATCACAGGGTGACTTTACATGAAGAAGCCAAACCATTAGCATTTGTCTTTTCTGTGCTCTGGTTTTCTTTCTCATAATTACTGTAAGGAAAGGAAAAGACTCTAGGCAGGTCCTGGGCTTTAGGCTGAGGCTTTCTGTGTCATGTGGGGAAGCTCCAGCAAATATCTTCTCATAGGTTAACAGCAGTAGCAAATTATGTAGGAGAGGGACCCCTGGAGAGCTCTGTCATCATGGCCACCCACAAGTCACCTCTCTCCTTCTGCTTCCCCTTCAAAATGTAGCTGTTTTGTTTACCTAGGCTGGGCTCTCCTCCTCCCACTGTATCTATGCTTCACCTAGCACCTAGTCTCAGCAAAACAGGGTATTCTTCACATTAGCACAAATTAGTAAGTTATTTAGATATATATGGCTCTTGGTCATTGGTTATTGTTGCATCTACTTGGTTCTAGCTTTGAAAATCTCAGTAAACTTGCTATTTCTCATTGATATTAAACTCAGCCAGGCTGCCCTCTTGAAATCATCAATAAAGTAAAATAGAATTACCAGAAGATCCTGCAGATATTCAGGCAGCTGTGCTGTCTGCTATTGCTTGCTGGTTGCCTGTTGCAGAGGGAATCTGCCTCCTGGCAGGGCTGACGGGTGCAGTTTGGTATCTGCCCTGAGACAGAGCAGGGCAGATGCCACTGACCCTCACAGCCCCCGCCTGCAAGTCTAGGCAGGAGGGGAGGTGTGTTCACATTTGAGGGGACTGACCTGTCCCAGTGGTGATGGTGTTTGAGAAGCAGAGTCCCACTCTCTACCTCCAAAGCCACCAAAATGGGAGAGAACTACCCTCTGTCACAGCTAAACCTCTCTGGAGTCACCAAGGCTGCCTGGGTGAAGGGCTGTATGCAGAAAGGAGAGGCCTTACTCATGTGAATGGAGAAACACATCCCAACTGTAGCACTTTCATGCACATGCTGTCCTAGACCTGGCAGCCATCTTTGCTCCAGAATGGATGCAGGGCCACAAGACCTTGTAAATGAGCAAAGAAGGGACAGGAGTATTTATCTGAATAAGTGGTGGGATATAATGAACAAGCCAGGGGTGGGAATGTGCAGGTGGGACCAGAAATTTCTTAAGCTGATTTAGCATAAAAAAACCCAATATACTATGAAACTGCATTCACAAATGCAAAAATATGGCAATTTGGAGGTTAGAACGAGAGTTTCTTAACAGTTTCTTATGAAGCAGCAATGTAGGACAAGACATGAAGAACAGCTTGTCCTAGTAGTCCTGATTTCTCAGAAGCAGCTATGGCAACACTGCAGTACCACACAACCCAGCTGCAAACAGATGCAAAACCAGTTAAAGTCATGTACCCCCTCCACTCCTGCAGTAGAGACACACAATCTGTGAGTTGCAACATAATCTCTCCTGCAGCCATAAGGCAGCAATGAGGAGACAGTCACTTGCCACTCCCTAAGCAGGTCACTATGGCACGATGCTCATGTCACCCTGCAATGCTGCTTTTTTCCCCAAATCTGTGCCAGCTTTGTGAACTGAACATGCACAGACTAAGCACAGCTCTAACTGCTAAGTGCCCCACACTCATAACCCCATCCTAACGTAACATGTGACACCTTTCTGTGGTGACTGCACCATGGCATTGGGGGTAAGAACAGCGCAGCCACGGAAGTGACCCTGCTGTCGTGCAAGGACACAGCCACAAGGTTCAAGTGCAGTCTTCAGCCTTCCTTTGAGCATGTTTTCTCCATTGCTTCCTGACCTATTTAACACTACTGTAACTCATGCTTTTGACCATGAACTGTTATTTGCAGTTAAGCTGTATTTGCATTGAGACTGTCTTCATGAAGGCCAGGAGACTTGCAAGAAGAGCTGAGTCTGGTCTCATAGATTGCATCATTGCTTCAAGCCAAGGTGTAGAAACTCTGCTATCCTAAAAATGTGAAAAGTCTAGTCGTGGTGTTTCCCCATCTACAACAAAACTTCTGTGTGCATACAAATAGGATGCTTCCAAAACTCCTTGAAAGGCCGATTACAGACTTCACTCTACGCATACCCACGTAACAGGAGTGATGATTAAATGTGGCCAGGAGACAATGCAGTCACTTTCCCTGTTCTCTTCAACAACTTCATCTGAAGGCTTTTTAAACATGAAGTGTTAAGCCCATTTGCCTGAAGAACAAGGTCCACAGTAGAGCAACACCTCTATTTTTGGCATGACATTTACTCTGCTTTCATGCATTTGCAGCAAGTAATGAAAAAAAACAACTGTGATGGTTTTATACTCTTTTTTTTTTTTGTTCAGAGGTGAGCAAGAGAAAGGCATTCCTCTCCCAAGAGAGGGAGGAAGGGGTTAAGCAGTTTCAAAACAAGCTGGGCACAACTGATGTCAGATTTTTGTCTTACAATGGCATCTGTTTGCTTTCCCAGCAAGCAGTATATGGACCGATGGGCACTGTATTGTTGTGATGACAGCAGAAGATACCGTGTAACATCGGAGAGGGCAGATTTTATCGCTCCTGGTTAGCTGAAAGGTCTTGTTTGTTAAATAACGCTGTAAAAACCCTATCAGAAACTCCAGAAAAAACTGTTTGGTTTTTTTTTAAACTTAACTTTTTTTCAGTGTGTCTTTCTTTGATGTGAAGGGCTCAGCTGTACTCTGCACACCTTCCTAGAGTCACTGCAATCATGTGTTGCTCCACTTAGATTGAGAGGAAATAAGCAAAATGAAAATTATTACTATCCTCCCTGTTTTCTGAAAACCTCTCCTGGGCAGTTAGAAAAAGGAAAAGTGTAGGGGAGCAAAAGCAAAAATCCTTAAAATCCTTGGTTATTTCAGATTATATGACAGACACAAGGACTTGGAACAATGTTAAGACAGGGACCTATGAAAGCAGAAAGTCTGTTAAGTTTAAAAAGAAATTCAACACTGACCTTGCCAAAATAAGGCAAGGCTGGCCGAAAATAAGTTATTATCTTAGCCACCCTTAGTTTACCTGCCTTTGGGAAAGTCTGTGAGCAGGCTCCGTATGAACCTTCCCCGCCTCTCCCACTCGTGTTCGTGCCCCCCGTGCGGAGCCCCCGCAGGGCACCCACCGGGGAGCCCCGCACAGCCCTGATGCTGCTGCCGCGGGGGAGCAGGCAGGGGCCCGGCAGCACAGCACGAGGGGACGAAGGAGAACTTTAAAATATCAGCTCCAAGCAGCATTTCCAAGTTCAGAGCAGGTTTTAGACAAGAAATACCGAGCCGTAATGCCTCAGTGCTGTTACACTGCCAGCTAAAAGCACGATTTCGGTTATTTTTACGGCGTCCTGGGAGGAAAAAGCCACCGAGGAGCTGCCCTGTGGCTCGGCACGGGGAGCGGGCGGCTCGGAGGAGCATCGCGGCACAGGCAGGTACTCACCTGTCATCAGCGTGTAGTAATTCGGGTAGGAGAGGCTGGGGAAGTCTGGGGTCATGTAATCCACCTGCAGCCCCATGTTCACGATGTCCCGAAAGCCCGGCAGCCCCTCCAGCTCGCTGTCGTCGATGTAGTCGAAGCGGAAGCCATCGAGCAGGAACAGCAGGAGCTTGCGGGCGGCGGCGGGGGGCGGCAGGAGCGCGGCCAGCGCCCAGGCGGGCTGGGCTGGGCTGTCCTGTCCTGCCCTGCCCTGCCCTGTCCTCCCGCCCGCTGCCACCGCCCGCGTTAAAGCTACAGCTCGGCCCCGACGGGCGGGGGAGGGCACAGGTTAATTAGAAGCAGATGATTAACTTCCAGCCCGCCAAGCCTTGGGAGGAGCTTCGTATCTCTCTGCTACAGGGGAAAAAAACCAAACAACCAACCTGCTTCGCAGAGGTGGGGAGAACACGGCGCGAAAGTAGCGGGAGCTGTCGGGGGGCTGAGGGGGCGGGAGCCCGGGGGACCCCCCGCCCGCTCTCTGGCAGCAGAGCCCTTCTGCCGGGAGCAGAGTCCTCTCTCCAGCCAGCTCAGCTCCCCGTGGGGCTGCGGCTCACAGGGAGAGGGGCTGCTTTCTTTAAAGCATTCTACCTCCAGCCACGCGAACGTGCACTTCCTTCTTTTCTTTCTGGCAGTGCTGTGCGATAGAAACTTGGGCTGAGATCAAGGCAAAGCATCTGCCCAGCTCCAGGGGTGGGATAGTGAGTGTTTGGATGGCACATCTTTATCTAAGAGCAAGCTCATCTCTGCCTGCGCCTGGGTCCCCGCAAGGCACCCTGTCCCCTCTGCTTACCCTGTGTTGCTGTGGGGCTAAACCAGTTCCTGACAGTAGAAAAATACCTAGTTTTCAGCATGGGACATCAAATTACACATTTATTTTCTGGCTGTTGATATTATTAGCATTACTAGTAAGACCTGGGTGCTGCCAAATTTCATAGTAAAAAAGAAAAACCATTCACATTTTAGTTACCAATCACCAACAGGTTCTTCTCTTGCCAGCCACAGCAGCCAACTACATCTCTAATGCAACGGCAGCCCCTGTTGTACGCTATAAATACATATCAACTCTATTCAAAATGTTTTTCTTTACCCAAATACAAGAAGTTTATAGCATTATATTAACTCTGACATGCTCCAGGTGAAGAGGAAATACCTGCTGGACAGAGCTGGGATGGGCAAAGGGCAAATTTTTAATTTCTCAACACAAGGAAGAGAACACAGCCACAGGGCGGGGTGTTTCTAGCCCGTGCCTCACTTATCAGGGCAGATGTTTTACACCTGGGTGTCCTGGTTGCAGATTACAATAGCTGCCTGCCATCCCAGTGTGGACTTTGGAACCTCCCTTTGCTCCTCAGAAAGCTCCTGACTGCACGTCCAGTGTGTCTAGTTGCCTCTTACCCAGCACTGGGTTGACGCAAGCTCAGCAAAATGGCCTTCACCCTCCCTCACCCCAAACAGTTATTTTCACACCTGTGCAAACTCCCCTCATGTCCTGGCCTGCCTTTTGCATGGCTTTGTACTGCTGCCATCTGCGAGTCAGAGCAGCTGTCTGCAGGTCACCACTCCCAGAACATGGCTGGAGAGATGCTGTCCTTGTCCTTCTCCCACCAGGCTTCCAGCTGAAGACAGAAGGTTCCCTGCCAGGGGAAGGGGTGCTGGGGTTGTAGGAGGGAGTTGTTCAAAGCAGGTGGAAGAGAACAGAGGGGGAGCCTACAGCTGAGCAGAGGTGCTCAGGCTCTTCAGCTGGCTGTGCTCATGTTCACCTTCCTAGCCAAATTCCTCCCTGCCAGTGGACTTGTGGACATCTTCCACTTTCAACTTACCCAGCTGCTCATTTTCTTCCTCTTTTTTTTCATGTGTCCCTTTTTCCATCTCCCATCTCAGGGCCCAGCACTTGGGATGTACCCTCACATCAGAGTTAAGCCAGAGTCGAGGACTCAGAGCATTTCTAACCTCCAGTCCAGGGATTTTTAGAGCAAGATAGTGCCTGAACCAGTCCCTTCCAGGTTTTATGCCTTTTAATATAGCATTTGCTTTTGGAGCCTTGCATCTTGACAACGTCAATTCTGTCTGTGTTTCGACTTCTCTTATGTTGCCTGGCATTAGTTCCTGTGTTTTCTCACAGTATGGCAGCAGTTTTCTCATCAGACCCAACCCAGGGTCAACACCGTTGTGCTGCACCTTGGGTCAGAGACAGCTGAGCACTGGGGCTATCCATACAGCCCCATGCCCAGCAGATGGACAGACAGACTTACAGCAAGCCATCAGCTGTCCCCAGTCTGCTGGGGTGGTAACAGGTCCCAGACCCCCAGCCCAGCCCCTGGACCAGATATCACCTGGGAGAGCTGGGCAGCACTGGGGTGCTCTAGTCTGAACTTTGCCAGAAAACACCCAAATCCCACAGCACAAGGAGAAAGCCAGAAGGAAGGCTGTGTGTCCTGGGCAGCCAGACTGCATTTTGCTGGCGTCCCAGCCTGTGCAAGGCTGCTGCTGCCCTTCCTGCTGGGGACGAGGCTGCAGCTGCGTGACAGGCTGGTGACGACGTGACAGCCCAGGCAGCGACGTGGGCAGCTGCCTGCCTGTGGGGCAGCACGTGCTGCCTGTCATACCTAGGGAGCTGCTGCTCTTCTCTGCTGTCTCCAGGCTCGGTGGGATCTCAGCTGAGGATCTGCCTCTTCACCTGCCTCCCAAAGGGAGTATGCATATCCTGCTGCTCCTCTCCTGGCCTCCAGCAGAACCTGTGTTCAGACCAGTGCTTACTAGAGCAAAAACTGCATGTAATGGTCCTGGATCCTCCTGTAGTGTCAAGTCTTGGCCAAGCTCCTGTGATAATTTATTACAACCACATTTAGGTTGAACAAACTCGGAAATATGTCCGGAAGTGGCAAGGGTGATATGATTATACATCTCTTGGTGGACCTTTGAGGATATTCACTTTGCTATCTTGGCTTGTCCTCTAACAGATGACCTCTGGGCTTTCCAGCAGGGCTCAGCTAAAGCAGCAGCCTCAGGGAGGGATGGGATAATCAAGTCAATCATGTGTTCAAGCTGGGCTCCCACTTTGAAAGGACGACCACATTTTGGAGGTAGTTAGGCCAAAAAGCCAGGCTTCCACCATCAGGTGGTACAAAGGTATGTCTTCTTATCATTTCATGGCGTTAAGAAATAATGCCTTCCTTTCAAGAAGGTTGCAATCTACTGGTTGACAGCTCCTAAGAGAAAGCTCCATCTAAACCAACCCAGCAGCACAAGGAACAATCGGTGCGAGGTACCAGAGCACAAGGTCTGCTCTAGGAGTTGGAGATTCATAGGTTTCCACTCAACAAATAACAAAAGTGTAGTGCCTGAGAGGGGTTAAAAAGTAGTGAGCCATGCAACCATGAGCCACACAATACCAAACTGTGTTTTGACAGACAATCCCCCCAAGAGTGGGACTGGAGCCAAACAGTCTAGCTTGGCAGAGACAGACCCTAGCAATACATTTCATCCCTGCCAAGCAATGCTGATTTGCTTTGGTTCACATTCATTTGTAAGCACCCTGTCTGCACAAAGCCCCAGATGTCCTTGGAGACTCTAGCACAATATTTTGATACAAATGGTCTTAGAAAAGCTATCAGAGCCTGAGCTGGTGTCCAGGGACAACAGTCCTTGCTGGTTAGCTGTAAGATCAGGTTTAGGAAGAAGCTGTGCACACGAAGATAACCTGCTGATCCAAACTTTATTTGAGACAAGGTCCTCAACCACTTAGACTGCTCAGGAAATCCTCCTGGCAAAAAGCAGGTTTCTATTTTTTGAAAACTACTTCCAGTGTCCTTGAGTTATTTTATTTATTTATGTATTTATTTATTTATTTATTTATTTTCCTGCAGAAATCATAAGCGCTCTGCTGGACTAAGGTATTTCTTCCTCTTCTCCCCACCAAACCCAAGCTGAAAACATCACATGTGGTACCAGCCCCTCAGCTGAATTCCACAGAAAACCTCTGGTGATGTATATGTCTGCTTTCTGAGCAGACTGAAGGTCTTACCTTTGTTGAAGTCACTGTCTGTAGTTTAAAATTAGCTTCTTTGCTCCTGCACTGTGCATTTTCACCAATGCTTCTGCAGGGAGGGACTCATTAAGCAAAAGACCTGCTGCTCCATCAAGTCTTCCTAGATAATGTTTAATGTAAAGTCATTTTTTTTCTGTGATCTTTTGGTGTGCAGTAGTAGTTAGGTCATGAGGGATTTAGGACATAAGAAAAGGGTTGCTCTTGCTGTCAGTCATATACAAACGTATATGATAAAGTCACACACTTGTTAGCTACAGAGCATTTCAGAGCTCAAAACTCCAGCTTTCCTGGAGAAAAGCAGTGGTCTTACACAGCTTCTTGAGGCACAGTTTTTCCCTAACCTACCTGGCTTGTATGAGGCCTGCCTTACTGGAAGTGTCCACATGCTGGATAATGAGTACATCAATATGGGACAGTGGTGGCACTGAAGGACAGCCAGGAGCTAGTTAAATGTTCTTTGAGGTGTCTCAGTCCAGGCAATGGTGATGTTTGGAGACCAGATCTCCAGCTCTCTTACTCCATATTTCACTGCTACAGTCATGAGTCATAATAATAACTTTTCTATTTGAGAAAAGTCTAGTGAAGATGAAAAAAGGTAACAAACAAGTAGACTCTCCTCAGTGGCTCCTGGTTTCTTTGCAAGGAGCCTCATTGGCTCAGTGCATCATCCTTGATGCTGCCTTTCCCTGTGAACGCTCCCCAACAATGTACCCCTTAGGAAACAGGCTGTTCTTCCATTGAATAGGACTAAATCAGGTTCAGAATGAACAAAGGAGGTGGCTCTTCACACTAAGGCATCGTTTAGGTGTGCAACACCTGGTCCCTGAAAAGTGTGACTGTTAAAAGCATGTGTGGGACAAATTCACAGGAGAAAAGGCCAGCTGGGACAGTGAAACAAGAGGAGCACGGGTTCTAGCCATTCTAGCACTTGTTTTCTTATTGAGGGTGAAGAACAGGAGTATTAATTCAGTGGGAGAACCTTCTTAATACCTCTTGCTTAATACCTCTCTTAACCCAGCTGTTATATGACTAAGGCCTCCAATTCTCTTAATAGTGTTTCTTGGGCAGCAGTTGAAGCTCATTCTTCCACCTTCAAAACCACACAAACTATCTAACCTGCTGCAGCAGCTCTTCGTAGTGAAGGACAGAAGAGTCAGGTTGGGGGGATGGCAGAAGGGAGTGACATGTCTCCCAGGGAACTCAGCCCAGTCAGTGGTGCCCTAAATCCACCCGCTGCTGCTGCCTAGCAGGAGAGGCTGCATGTCTGTAGGGCTGAGGTGGGAAGGATCCTGCAAACATCCCGTGGAATAAACCCCCAAAGATGCCCCTAAGAAAAAGTACATTTCATATAGCTAGTGTGGGTTGGAATAACAATTTTAACCTCAATGGAGGTTTATTGATTACTTTCTAGTGGTTGTGAAGGCAATTAAGGTGGTGTAAGACACATCACCAGTGTGCTTAAACTCACTATGCAGTGAGCCTCTGCCACTGGAAGATATGTAGGAGCTCAGGTCAGGAAAGACTGGAAAGCCTGCACCAGGTGATATCTCACAGCTGCCTGTGTCAGAAGACCACCTCCTCCCTCACCCTGTGGTGTGCTGGCCTTAAGCACAGGACCACCTGGCTTGGGAAGAGAGTATCATAGTCTTGGACTGAAACCAGTCCTCACTTCTTCCTAAATATTTGAGTTTTGTCTTGGAAATCAACCTCTACTACCTCCCCAACATTTCTAACTCATGTTCCTGCAACATTATTACTTAATTAGCCCAAGACCATGCTTGCCCAGACACCAGTGTCCTGTAATGCAGGAGGTTTTACCTCATTAAGGAAACCTTGCACAATGCATTTATCTGTCAAAATCACCTATTCAAGTGGCAAAACCAGA